GGAAATCAATTGTTAACCATCGCGGAAATTGTAAAATGGTAGAGGACTTTTCTTCTCAGTTTAATTTGTTTTGTCCGTAGGTGAAAGATTTATCGTTATTTTTCAAATATCCTGTTTAAATGTGTGTATATGTATATATAGGAAAGTAGAAAGGGAGATACTCTTGCAAATAATTATATATCATAAATTCTAAGCCTTTAAGACATATTTACCTGCTCGCTGTATGTTGACTATACAATCATATGCCCAATCAATTTGTTGTACATATAAAGTAACAGACGGTGAATCTGGTGTTAAACATGTTGTCAAATTTTCCATGAATGTTTCTGCGATCCGTAATTTATAATTTTTTAAATTTATAGGTATCCACCATCTTTCCTGACCGATTGGATTATACATCTGCAACAATCTTCCAGTGTAAGAATCAGTTTCTTCTTGCTCGAACTTTACAGTTTGATAATGCCTATACGTTACCCAAGTTAAGAACTTATCTGATGGTATATAACATTTAAATGCTTCTATAGGTTCTTGCATGGACCAGAAATCAAAAGAAACCGTTGAGCTAAAAGTGCTAAATTAAAAAATTTATTGTCAGGGATCAAAATAATGTATTGTGTACAACGTAAATATGTACTCATTACTTAAGATTACATATTAACTTGTACATATATATGGAATACTGTAATATATTATATTTCAATTTTCTATTTCAGATATATTACAAGTCCTATTATATATTACTATTGGTAATACAATTTGTAAAAATTCAGTTTAATTTCAACACTTTCAGTAGGTAATTTTATACAATAGTTCATTAAGGAATGACACAAAAAATTGTATAAAGTTATAACGAATTTAATGAATTAAACACATGAAGGAAAATGAAGGATAGTTGAAAACGAAAAAGTTAGAACATTATGTGATTACTGATTGAAAAGAAAGATATGTACCTGTAAATGCGAAATCAAGAGATATTCAGAAAAATTGAACCATTACGAAAATTTACGAACAACTTTATAAAATTACAATAACTGTTAAATTTATTATATAAGTATAATATACGACGAAATTATAGTTGACATATTTACTCACTATCTGTTTACATATGTACGAACATTCTTTCGAAACACTTTATCGGTAATTGCACTTTGGAGCATGCGTAAAGCAATTAGTGCTGTAATGGTACATATATATTAATCAATTACAAATTGAATCTTTTGAACAAAATTTGTTTATCTAAGTTTTTTTCTTTAATTTTTTTAATAATATTCGTATGTACAAATATTTAATGAAATATCCTTTAACTGTTCTTACCTTTTAAATAACGAGGAAAACTGAAAAGTGAATCAATTTCCAACAGGTTGGTGATTTGAGGATTCATGTCAAAGTAAGAACCCAAATGAAGAGATTCGTATTGATTCTGCACTATGAGGAAATCCATGATTGTAGAATCATTAAAGATCTAAAAGCAATGTTTCTTAATTACACAAAATGTAAATGTGAAAGTCTATCCTTATTGGGATGGTGTAGCATGTGCTGCCGCTTAATGTTGTGTGCACATGTATGCGCATTCTTGTTAAAATTATTTTACGAAGTTCATAATTCAGTTTAGAAATAAAAAATGAATGTAATTCTTAAAATAAAACACCATACAATTTTAAAAGTTTAAACGATTTAAGTTGAAAAATTTTTAACATTTAATTGAAAAGACTTACGACTCATTTTACATTGTTATTATCATTCCAATTTAAATATTTTGTCTAAATATTTTATTGTTATAAACATCCCCTCAAAAAAGAAAAAAATATACGCTTAGTGCATAAAAAAGATACCGAATATTACATTTTTTAAAATAAAAAACGGATACGAAATAAATGCAGTTAGCCGAGTATTTAATAACGTAAGACACATAAAATATATTGAAAGTGACTAAGCTGGACAAATGGATTATAGTGAAGAAAAAATTTGGCGTGCCCGGGTCACATTAATTACACTTGTATAAATGTATTATCTCATCACAATATTCTTATTATAAATTAAAATATAAAAATAATATTTACATTTGTATATAAGTGTAATTTATATGTATGTATATGTATATATATATAGTGACTAGTTTGTGGGACATGAAAATATACTCACAAATAACAGACGTGATATAAACTATGGAGAAATAATATGTATAAATAATATTGATAATATTTAGATGTGGAAACATTATATAGATAACAAATTTACAAAATTAATAAGTAATTTTAATATCTCTTGTTTGTTGAATTATTGTTTTCATGTATTGTGTATGTCTGTAGAATATTGTGTGTAATAACTTTTTTATAAATTCGTATAGTAAATAATTTCCGTACTATGAAGACACATTGGTCATAGAATATTTTTATCCAACCTGAGCACGGCAAATTTTCTTCACTACAATTTAGTCAACATTTTAGTCACTTTCAAACTATCTGTGTGGCTTGCGTTATGAAATAATTAGCTAATTGCATTTATTTCGTATCCGTCTTTTTTATGAAAAGGAATGTAATATTTGATACCTTTTCTATGCACTTGGCGTAAAGTTTTCCTTCTATTAACAGATTAAGTGGTAGGCTTTTTAAAACATTCCGTGCCAAAAGTGGTAGGCGTCAATTGTGAACTAAAATATACCAAAATTTGGCCCTGGGAGTTTTTTCATGTTCACCAGCTAACTGCGGGGGTAAAACGTAATTGCAATATATATACAAAAATCGCCATTTTCATTCAACGTATTAGTCGCCATGTTGTGTTCGCCATCATATTTTACAAATTTGACGCCAAAATGGAGTTCAGAAGCCCAAAAAACAATAGTATACCAAATTTCAAAAACAATAGTATAGCAAATTCGTTGAATAATATAGAAGTTATTCAAGATGTGCATATATGCTACAATATCACTTTTGGCACGGATTCTTTTTGTGCATATATGCTACAATACCACTTAACCGGTTAAGAAATTTTTCGCATGTGCTGTAAAAAAAGATAGTAAGTGTGTCAGACTTAAATGTTAAGGAATAAAAATGATAGATATACCAAATTAAATTAAATTTATTATATTACGATGTTAATAAATGTAAGAACCTTAACGATGGTTTCTTCTCCAAACAAAGTAGCAAGACCGTCGTGTAACCAGAATTGAGTCCACCAATTATAACTGAATACGTTACTAAACCATTGATATGCTATTTTGGATGCTATTAAACGTGCGACTTCTATTTGGTGCATAATTGAATCTGATTGTTTATCACATATAAGATTGGCTTCTCTAAAAATTATTCCAATTGTTTTAACATGTAAAGATTGTTGCTTACTTTTTGGTTGACGAAACGTTAATTTCTTTTTACAGATTTAAATTTAATTTGTTTATACTGTTGCGTACAAAACGTTTAATATTTTTTTTAATTTTATATAATTTTTAATGGTAAATTAGGACATTAAAAAATGATTATGCATGTAGTTTTATTTTTTTAATTTATCTTAATTTGATACATGCAATATTTTTCAAAATATCATCTTTCTAATTAATTTATACATATATAGAATATTGGATTATGATTTTGGTGACTCCTAATAAAGCACAACAGGTCACATTTGATATACAAGGTGATTCGCATAAAGTGGCAGGCATAATTGTCAATAAAATTTATAAAGACAAATGAAAAAATATTATATAAGTAGATTTTTAGTACGGAGAAACAGATCATGTAGATAAAACCATTAATTTGTGCAAGTTTGAAATCGTTTCATGATTATCTCTACTTTTTCAATAAAAATATGTTTTTTTAATTATTTAATTTTTTAAAATTATTTTAGATATAAATCTATTATGAGGAATTATTAAAATGTCAATAACACATAAAATATTTTACACTTCATGCTAATGTATTTTGTTACGGAATAATGTAAAAAATTCCTCTATGTTATTAATTTTTTCTGATATTTATGTTTCAATATTTTTATGCATTGCTGATAAAAAAAAATTGAATTGTTTTTAGAAATGAATGCAATTGCAAATTCCATATCTACTTTAAAGTACAGATTGTATAAAATTAATAATATCTAGTGTAATAATAGTTCTTAACCCTCCCCGAACCAGGTGGAAAGTCAACATCGTTCATATATGGGTATATATTTAAATATATATGCTACTTTTCATCATAAATATGCTATAATTTAGTATAATTGGCAACAACGCTCTCTACATTTGCACGAAACCGGCAACAGGCGCGCGGTACTTTTCACGAAGTTATAGAAATTCATCTTGCTGGAATATGTCACACCCCACCTGATTCACGGATTAATAATTGTTTCAATAATTGATTTTTTTATAATTAATTGAAGATTTCTCTTTTAAAAATACATATACGTAAAAATTCAAAAGTTTTAAATATTCAATTGATATAAATAATTTTCTCAATTAACAAATTGTTATATATTTAGAACTATGTATTACGTATGAAAGATGAGCCCCCATTTCGATGTGCCGTCTTGTGGAAAATTTGGAATTGCAACATGATCCATTTTTGGAATATTTATCCCACTGAATTCAGATTTTAAGTGCGACGTAATATCGATTATAATTCTTCGTGCACACTCCAATTGGACAGAATACTGTACTGAATAACAGATGCACCACAAAGTAATGTTTTCGTTAATTTTAAGGCCATAATAATCAGTCACAACTATCGCAACTTGTAAAGTGGACATTGGAGGAGTAATATGGAAATTTGTGCGTAATAAATCACTATAACGGTCATAGGTCAGTGACTTTGTTGGCATATTTGATAAAGCTGAATAATAGCGAGGATGTAATATTGAAATATTAAATGTGGCCTTGAAGTGCGGTTCATCCCAACAAGGGAACAATTGTCTCATTCCAATCTTTTGGATGTGTGGATCGAGCAACAGTCTACAACAATTTCATAATAGTTATATTTGCTTTAAATAACATTAAATAATAATATACTTTTTACCATTTAATTTAATTTATATAACAACATCAAAAATTGCTATAAGAGAATGAATTTTAAGAAAATATGAGAAATAATTATATTATAGTGCATATAATGCATATATATATAATTTCAACTATTTAATATTTACTCACGCTGTGCGATTTCCCGTGTAGAAATTTTTGTAGATACCTGTATGGTTTTCTATAAGATTACCGAAGAATTCTATTTTGAATGTATAGAGCCCGGGGTATAATATATAAGATAAAACAAATTCTAAAATATTCGTGTTATAGTTATAACTGTATTTATTCAATACATAAATTATACCGCTATATGTAGTCAAATTTATATTTTGACGACCTATCAAGATATGTAATTGATGCAATCTTATATACTGAGTCGATTCAAGGATATTAATAGTTGTACTGGTTTTTCCATGAAAAACAAATGATCCATAACTACGATCTAAATTGACCGTCGTGTCCAAAATGAAAGCATTCCTATCGGCATATTGATCTTTTGAAACTGTGTAGTCAAGTATCTCTATATGATAGTGCACGGGTGTCACGTTATAAGGTGAACGTGCTTCCTTTGGAACGCTAAAATTGTTTACTTCTTTACTATTGAGAATAATTATTGCTATGATAAATATTACGGTGCTACTTATATGTGCTACGTTCATGTTGCTCCGGTTGCCGTTCTAAATATATACCAGGAAGTTTTTAATAAATTATAGGATACTAATGATGATCAATAAAAAAGCAATGCACATAGCTGGCTGTGATTACAGAGAAAGAGATAGGGAGAGAAAGAGAGAGAGAGAGGGAGGGAGAGAGGGAGGGCGGGAGGTTATCAAAATCGTTATATTGCTGTAATTATAATTATATTAATGCAACACTAAACATTCTTAATTTTAGTAATATTTCCAGCACTGTTGTGTTTATGTTAAAGATATTGTTACATTAACTATAAATTCTAAAACGTTTTTATTTCTTATTTTAACAAACATTTTTTATTGAATATGTACATTGCTTTTTTATTGATATTTTAAAGTCATAGAATGTTTTACGAATAACTACAAAAAATTTTACTTTGTACTATAACATTTTTTTAAGGCAAGTTAATTTTAAGTCATAAAACATGTACGAATATTTTACAAATAGCAAAAGTTATAGTATATTATATTCATAAAGTACCTAACAAAACAGCATTAAAGTGATCATATTTTACTGCTTTAAAGAAATAAAACTTTTATTGAAAACGTTTGAAGAACATAATTTGAAGCTATCATTTAATTCAGTTTTTACGTACATATTCTTAAACACGTAACATATTTTAGCCAAAAGTCAAATAATGTTTTCACAACTTTCTTATTTCAAAAATAATCTATTGTGCACACTACAAATAAAATATTATCCTTTTAGAAACTTACCCTGTGTAATAAAATTGTACTATTAAGATATAATTTCCACTTCTAATTGCTATGTTCATAACAATTATAACGATATGAAATATGGATTGTAATAAAACGTTTTCGATGGCTACTATCTTTCTCTTCCGAGAAGTCACAACAGACTAATATCATCGACAACGACATACATAATAAATACTTACATGATAAATATAAAATGTCATTTAAACCGTTTCTTTTAATGTACACATTCTATATTAGTTGACGTAATGTTAATCGGTTTTCTTTTCAGTGGAATACAAATTTAATGTGTAAGCAATAATACATATAGGCAAAAGTAACTCCATTTCTAAAATTTTTATTTGTGCGCAAAGATGCATGTAGGCAATCGAGCTGTAGGCATTAACACATGTAGGCAATCGACTTGTAGGCAAATAAGATGTAGACAAAAGGGGCTGTAGGCACAATGAGAAAAAAATATGATCAAAATTTTAATACATATTTAGTTCAATACTGTCAACTAAACATTTTCTTACAGTAAATAAATACTTGTTCAGTAAAAAGAATGATTGTTAAATCAAATTAATATTTCTTGTATCAAATAAATATATCTTTATATTTAATAAATATTTAGTTGGCAGTTTTTAATTAAATATTTATTAAAATTGATTAAATTTTTTCTCAGTACAATAAATATGTAGGCAAAAGGAGCCCTCTCCATATGTACAATACAATAAACCAGGGAGTCTTTCCGTTTTGGGCATTTATGTTAATTTTTCGAATGTCGATTAACTGCTTCTTCCGTTGCTTCGAAGATGCAATTTTCATGTTTGCCGTATGGCTAATCAGACATCGTAAAGACGCCGCAACACCAACTCTGCGGCGTCTGTGATTCGTACATTGGATTTTATTGTAATTTCTATTTTAATCTGTTGTTATCAAGGATCCGGATGCTCTAATTAAAAAAAATGGATGTTATATTTTTCTAGAGTGATCAATGAGAATGAATTGGAACTAAATGGTTATTATTTTGCAACAATTGGGACGAACGAAATTATCAAACGCCATTTTGTAGAGAAAACTTTCCAATTTTATTACCACATTTACGAAAAATATACGTAATTATTTAACAATTAAAACATAAAAAAAGCATTAATATGCTTGTAATAATGAAATAATGGTATGTGTTTTAAAATGTTGTCCATCGGAATCTAAATGAAATTAAATAAAGAATCTTCAAGAAAAATTATTAAATTCTTTACCAATACACAAGGAAAAGAGAATTAGTCAAGGAATTCTATTTTATGCAAAATGGCGCGAACCATGCCGTATACGCATGCATATTTTTGGTCCTATTTTTGTAATGTTTCTATTGTTAACTGATTACACATTTTAAATTTATTTTGAGCTATAATGAAACAATAATGCTAATAATATGAAATACTAACAATAAGTGAATATAATACAAGAACGTTAATAATATTAATAACATAGAATGATTAATAATATTTAATTAAATGAAGAAAGACTAAAGACAGAAAATGTAGATGCAAGTAAATACCTAATGAACGCTGTATAACATCAGAATGAAAAGTAAAAACTAGCAAAATTTATGTAATGAAATATTCAAGGTTAAACTTAAAACATTTAATTACAGTAGTATGTCACGTTATTTTCAGCTGATTTGAATCACAGGAAAACGTATAATAAGAACTCAAATTAACTTAAGGAACATTTACAAACTCAAAATGTTCTATATGTCTTTTAATTTCAGACTGACGTGTTCGTATCTTTTGTTGAATACTTGGAATTTGATTCTTACTTATGTAGGTCACATTCTTCAGTTCATCGGGAAGCTGAAACAAATACATTTTACAATTAAGAGACGAAAGCCTTGAACGGTTAAGGTAGATTTTTAGTGATTTAAAATTTAAATAAATATTTCGGTGTGAATTTTTGTAAGGAAAAGATTGCTAACATTGCAATCTTTCTAAAGCTTTATAATTAGTATTTGCCTGGGTAATCCTTCCACCCCCCTAAGAATTACGCGTATGTATAGAGAATATCATTATCTTAAAACAGTAAAAGTTTCAAAAAAATCTTAAGAAAAGTCATTTTTAAGTAATGTGTTTGCGATACAACTACCTAAAACTGAAAATTAAATTCAGTGCAATTTGCAGAATATGTGTATAAATACACGCTAAATTATTTAAAGACAGCTTTATCATTTCATAGTTGTTATGTACTTACATTACGGTCTAAAAAAATACTTTCTTGAATATTAGAATAAACATTATTCTAAAGAATTAAAAAAAGACAAAGAGAGCAGTGTCTTGTAGGAACATATACATTATATTACGGACATTAGTTATTAATAAGAATTTTTAAAGAAAGCTAATAAATAAAACGAATATGAAATTTGAATTAAATTTACTTGCCTGTTTCAGAATTGCTATGGAATACACATAATTAATAATATCTGTTAGTGCTGTTAACGTATTGATTTCTCTATAAAATCAATTCAGACAATTATAAATTTATATAATAACTTATTATTATTAAATGAAGTATATCTATATTTATATAAAAAACAGCTCTCACTTTGGTTTTATTTTCCCCAAGTTCCCTAATATCTTCCGAAGTATGTTGTAGTTATTAGCATGCTTACTGACAACTGAATGAAAAATGTTTATAGAAGAACGAATAACGGCAACATCTTCCCTTTCATTTTGTGAAAATCGATTTAAAAATAAATTTTGCAGATGTACTGTAATGATCCAATCAGTTTCACAACAAGCTAAGAATGGTAACAGATCGTGGTCAGGTTTTCTCAACCACATATCTCTTACCTCGAACCACACGGAATGTTCATTAAAATAGCATAATATGAAACCTCTGCAATATGTCCAGTGCTTCCACTCTGCTGAAACTCTACGATTTTTAAAAAAGAATAAATATACATAGTATATACATTAAAAAATGTTGCTTATTTATCTTAACAGACAGTTTGTTAAGGCGTGAATTACAAAAAGTTTCGTTTACCCACAGAATCTTACAGCAACATTGCTACAACATGTTCAACATTACAGCAATATTGCTAGTATGTTTATACAGTGTTGATGCAATATTGCTGGCTTATTTTGTGCTGTATGAGTAAATATGTTTTATATTTATAAAAAAGTATTACGGTTCTATTTCAGGATTCTGAAGATGGTCTTCTAACGTATCTTTGGCCCTTTTTGCGCACTGAATATGTTTGAGCGCACAAGACCATTTTAATATTTCTTGTTTGAAAGATTCAGTAAAGCCATTTTCCTTTATGTGTTTATCAAATAGTATTGCCATTAGTGGCTTATTCAGTAATTCTCTTAATTTTGCCTAAATGACATAAACTTTATGTTCATCCATTATAATAAGATACGTTATCCTAGATAGCGCAGATGATCGTTACGAATTCAAAAAGGATTCACATTTCAACATTTTTTCTATAATAATTTGTCAGAAATAAATTTGCAAAAAATCAATTATCTGCAAGCAGTACGCAGCACGGCCGATAAATACAATTAAGTAGCGAAATTCAATTCAAATAAAAACCATACAAAGTAGAAAAAGAGCCTAAATTATGAAACTTTTTACCCAATATATTTGAATAAAATGAATTTTTGAATGTGATTTCCCAAAATAAAGTTTCTATGATGAAAGTAAGCGTTTCGATATATATCTAGAAGTATATCGATCATATAACTTATTCCTAGGGCGGAAACGTGAAAAGTGAACATTTTTTATATGTTTGTGTCCATATGTACGAGGGTGAATCAAATATTAACCGGAATTCTTTTTTAATATTTATTTATTTATAAAACAATACAAAAATACTATTGATTATTTTTCTACATAGTCTCCTTCACGCTCTACACATTTTTCCCAGCGGTTTGGAAGCTTGTTAATTCCTTGCTCGTAGAAACTTTGAGGTTGAGTCACCAACCAATTGCGCACGAATTCCTCAACATCTTGATCGTTGTCAAATCGCAATCCTCCAAGAGCATCTTTCATGGGCGCAAACAAATGATAGTCACAGGGTGACAAATCTGGGCTGTATGGAGGATGCTCAAGGGTTTCCCAATGCATATCCTCCAGTTTTTGTTTCGTTTCCCCCGCCGTATGTGGCCTGGCATTGTCATGAAGAAGGATGACGTTTCTGATGGGGACACCGCGTCTTTTGCTTCTGTAAGCGGCTTTTGCTGCCTCCAACAGCTGGCAGTAGTAGGCAGCGTTAACCGTACGTCGGTCATGTAGGAAATCAATGAGCAACACTCCTCTGTAGTCGAAAAAGACGGTCGCGAGGACCTTACCGGCTGAGAGACGGGTTTTGGCTTTCACAGGACCGGCTTCGTCTTTCCTTCGCCATTCTTTACTCGCCATCTTGGACTCGGGAGTGTAATGATGCACCCATGTTTCATCACATGTCACGATATGCCTCAAAAAAGTCTCTCCCTCCCGCTGAAATCGATTCAGATGTCTCTTACTGATTTGCAGTCGGATGTTTTTTTGATCTTCGTTCAACAACTTTGGGACCCATCGGGCACAGATTTTTTTGAAACCAAGATGATTTTTAATGATTGTTTGAGCACTTCCATAGCTAATGCCCACCTGTAAAGCGATTTCATGAATAGTGAGCCGCCTGTCACCTTCAATAAGGTCACAAACTGCACCAATGTTGTCCCCAGAGACGCTTGATCTTGGACGTCGATTATGACTCACATTTTCCACACTTTCTCGTCCACTCTTAAACTTTTTGGCCCAATCAAACACTTGAGTTTTAGACAGAGTATCATCCCCATACTGAACCTTCAATCGAGTCAAAATTTCGCACGGTTTAACGCCTTCCTTAGTTAAAAACTTTATTATAACCCGTTGTGCAACGGACGCTGGAACCTGTTGCTCACTCATAGCTGTACTGGCGAATTGACTGAGTCAAACAGCTCACCAAGCGTTTTCCCCACTCCTGATACACTACACTACAAGAACCTACACTGTGAGAGCGCTCGTGGTTGGCTAAGAAAAGTATTTGTAAAATTCCGGTTTATATTTGATCCACCCTCGTATATGTATACATATATACATTCAAATTTTCACTTTTCAAGTTTCCACCCTAGGAAAAAGTTTCACGTTTCCGCTCTAGAAAGAAAGTTAGATAATTGATATCCTGTACCAAAAATTTGTAGTGTATTTCCTAACATGATTCATATTTTCAGTATTGGTAGTCCTGTAATCGATAAAGGATTGAAATGGATTCAGATTTTTAGAAATATGCATTCGCGTACGTTAAAACGAATCCTATTCAATCAGGAATGCATTTTTATTTCTTTATAAGAATTGCATGAAAACACATTTTTATGCCTTCCAATCTAAAAATAATATCGGCTTTTTCTGTGCATCGTGAATACTGTTTAATTCAAAATTCTAAATACAAAATTCAATCCTTTAATCCAAATGTATTCAATTGAATTTAATTGAATCCAGTTGAATTTGTATTAAATCCAACTTAATCCAAAAAGAGGTTTTCTGTATGTAAAATATAAGCATTAGGATAGATAAAATTTTAATCCATTTTAATCCTTTCTTGTTTACCGGGAGTGCATATCTGAACTCAACGTAAATGAGATATATTTTGTCAATAGGTTTTTGTGTATTTACATTAAATATTAATTTCAGGGACATAATATTCTCGAGAGTTATGTAATTGTGTTTTTTTACAGTACTATCTAAAAACTATTTCGATTTTATTGCGAAATCTTATAAACTATAACTTTTATATACCTGAAAAGAGAGACAAAGAATTAACGTTTTTAAAACAAAAATGGGACGCATGAACGCTTTTCATAATTAGACATTTTACAAAAATTAATTTTTTGGATTTTCTATTCTCTCTCTGTATGATATGTGTACACGTCTTAATATTTTTTAGACAATTGGTATCTTGAAGTTACTAGATACGCATATAACAAATTGTTTAACGTGCACAATACTAACAAAAACAGAATCATTGTATTTTAATTTCTCATACTTAATTTCGAAATAAAACTAATAAATTGCCGTCTGATCCATTAAGTAAGCAGTTTATTTTTACAAAATTATTTATCAATTATCGACCTAAAAGCATAATTTATGTTTAATGCTTATTAAAGATAATTTCCTGTTCATTATTTAAATATTGCATTTTTTGGATATTGAAAAAATTCAATATCCAAAAAATGCAATATTTAGAACATAAAAGCGTAACAATACTTTGTTCTTCCGTTACTCAGTTCTTTTTGCCTTACTTCATTTCAATTTGAGGTAATAAATAAACGTAATTGAATGTTTTTATTAACATAATCATGCTACTATCCGAAATTGCTCAACAGTTGTTGGCATAAAAAGTAAAAACAATATGTTTTCGCACTTTTGCTATTAACTGATTTTTTTCGTTAAATATAATCTGAAAAAACTCGGCAGATCGCGTAAAGATACATGGCTGGTCTCGCGCTAACAACACGCTGCGCGTGCTCTTATCGCGAGACACTACTATATCACTAAATACGTACTGATCGTTATACCTTAATATCGTCGATGAACTTAATTTCGTCTTTTGAAAATGGAAATATAGTGGACATATATTCGAACACTTTAATCATTGGATACCATACTACATAATTTGTCTCTTGTGATAAGAATTGCGTGAGGTTCCAAAATATAGATACATCGAGCTGATTTTCCATCATCAAATGAAATGCGTCATCAATAATTTTAGCACGATTGATGACACTAATTCCTTCATATTCTCCAGCTGTTGAATTTAAATAATTTGCAATTGCGTTCCAGCCTTTTAAATTATATTTGACACGATAATATCCTATTCATGGAAAAAAATGTTATCGTATGTATTATAAAGATTTATCGTTCTGTATTATGTGGATTTTATGAGTTTGATGATAAGAGAAATACTATTTTCATTTTTTTTCTTCTATCTTATGTTAAGAGGATCCTGAAATGAATCTGTTCTATCAATTTCTTTAAATAAGTACTTTTCTAACTGCCATTACAGATTAGAAAATACATCTCCATAATTAAAGTATAAACGATAATGTAGCTCAAATCGGTCGATCATACGCCACAAACGAAAAAAAGTTAGGAAATTACAGCTTTGTTATCGACTTTTAACATCGACTCGAAATAATATTCGCTTTATATACGTGTTTTATACTTCGTACCCATAAAACAATCTTGATTCGGGCTAGAGATTACATGAACATTCAATGTTGAGTACTTAGTATTAGGTTTAGGTACATAATACAAAAGATTAGTTAGTTAGAACATTCCCAGATAGCTAAGTCTGTAGAAAGCAGATTTTTTAAATGTCTCCTACATACTATGCCAACAAAATATCAACAGAATTGTTACAAAATTAGATGTATATAATACTGTTGACGACTGCTGGAAGAAATGTAACGGAATCTGCAAGCAGGAGTAAATGGCAGAGACTGGAGAAAGAAACAGAGCAGATTTATGGTTTAATCTGATAGTGTATTGTCTATAGAAACCAAGCAGATCCTTTCGATGTCACCTAGAACTAGACTATCAGAAGATCCTACTCTGACACATCTTGACAGCAGATTTTTGACAGAAACGCAGCAGATTCTGCTGACATCTGACGTGTCAGAGCAGGATCTGCATGGTTTCGGTGACAGTCTACGGTCAGATACTTTCGACGGGATCGGGTCAGTTTCTGCGAACAATTTGCTTTCACTTTATGTCGACAGGCGACGTTAACAAAACACAAGCTTTATGCGGACGCAGTTGGTGGTAGACTGCCGTCATTTTCTGATCGAACCTGCTCACTGTCTGCTAGAAGACTGCAGACATTTTGCTATCTGGGTTTTACGTATGTGTGAGTGTGACATTGATGTAGTAATATATAAAGATAGATTGATGTGTCGTATTTTATCGAAACAAGAGCTATCACATCGGAGTTCAGGGTTTATTTTAGGATCTCTCTCTTTGTTAACAAAAATTCGAAGATTTGTTAAAAAAAATTCTACATTTTTCTATGGAAATAAATTTTTGCGAATTATTGCAATTCTATGTTTTTTAGGGTGTTCATTATAAAGCTGATGTTAGATTTAAAAAATTTAAAATAATAGATCCAACATGTCCTCCACACCCATCAATTTGTCTGAATAAATGTAAATCGAATTCACGATATAATAGGATTTTAAACTCTAAACAGAAAGGTAAAGGCCTAAACTTTAACATCATCTGCCGTCATTTTCTGCTCGAACCTGCTGACTGTCTGCTAGAAGACTGCAGACATTTTGCTATCTGGGTTTTTACGTATGTGTGTGTGACATTCATGTAGTAATATATAAAGATATATTGACGTGTCGTATTTTATCGATACAAGAGCGATCACATCGGAGTTCAGGCTTTATTTTAGGATCCCTTTAACCCTTTGTTAACAAAAATTCGAAGATTTGTTAAAAAAAATTCAACATTTTTCTATGGAAATAAATTTTTGCGAATTATTGCAATTCTATGTTTTTTAGGTTGCTGATTATAAAGCTGATGTTGGATTTAAAAAATTTGAAATAATAGATCCAACATGTCCTCCACATGCATCAATTTATCTGAATAAATATAAATCAAATTCACGATATAGAAGGATTTTAAACTGTAAACAGAAAGGTAAAGGCCTAAACTTTAACATCAGAACTTCCCAAAGCTGATGTAATAATACACTAATAATTGGTTTATGCATTAAGTATAACTTTATGAATATATGTACATATATATATACTGCCGTAAATACGTTTTAGGAGGAATTGGGGAGTTTCAACCTCTTCTTTCTTGAAAACTTTAAGCAACAGACAATTTTTAAGGTCATACGTATTCAGCACAACCTATTCGCTAAAGAACGACCTTTCATCACTATAATAGGCGCGAACGCGGACCTCACCGCGCTGGATGAGGCGCGCCTTCACGCCTATTATTACACTATGCTACAAATTCTCATACTTTTATTCCTATCCTGTCGCGCGCTTGCATTTGGCGGTATAGACTTGACGAATTTATCTATTTTCGTAAGTTAATAATCATCGCGGAAATCAATTGTTAACCATCGCGGAAATTGTAAAATGGTAGAGGACTTTTCTTTTCAGTTTAGCTCGTTTTGCCTTTAGGCGAAATATTTATCGTTATTTTTCAAATATCCTGTATATATATGTGTATATGTATGTACAGGAAAGTAGAAAGGTAGATTCTCTTGCAAATAATTATATACCATAAATTCTAAACCTTTAAGACATATTTACCTGCTCGCTGTATATTGACTATCCAATCATATGCCCAATCAATTTGTTGCACATATAAAGTAACAGATGGTGAATCTGGTGTTAAACATGTTGTGAAATTTTTCGTGAGCAATGTTTCTGTGATCCGTAATTTATAATTTTTTAAATTTATAAGTATCCACCATCTTCCCTGACCGATTGGATTATACTTCTGCGACATAATGTTTCTGCGATCCGTAATTTATAATTTTTTAAATTTATAAGTATCCACCATCTTCCCTGACCGATTGGATTATACTTCTGCGACAATCTTCCCGTGTAAGAATCAGCTTCTGCTTGCTCCATGGTTACAATTTGATAATGCCTGTACGTTATCCAAGTTAAGAACTTATCTGATGGTATATAACATTTAAATGCTTCTATAGGTTCTTGCATGGACCAGAAATCAAAAGAAACCATTGAGCTAAAAGTGCTAAATTAAAAAATTTATTGTGAGTGATCAAAATAATGCATTGTGTACAACGTAAATATGTAGGGGAAAGTTGCTGAATGCGTACTGGTCACCTAAATCGTACCTCTTCGATATTTCATATTATTACGTAATATAAGCAACATTTAATGACAAAAATATGAA